GTATATAAAACATTGGAAACCGCTGCTCCATTTTTTTCGTGATTATTGTGTTCGTGCGATTATTGTGTTTGAAACTTCAATGTGTCATTAAATTTATTAACAAATGGGATACATTTTGGATCATAACATTTTTTGAGAATGCCGAATTGGAACACACTTCAATCACAATGCTGAATAAAAATATTTCAAAAAAGCAACTTTTTGGATAAAACTTACTGGAGCATTGCAAGTTGCAGTCGTGTAATACAACTCTTCCGGATTGTCTTGCGTATTCACACCCCCACCAAGTACTCTCAGCGTTGCAGGAGCTGTGATCAAACAGTGCGTTGAAACATCCGGTGTATTGTTCAAAGTACCTTAATTTTCAGAAACCGTTATTGATCTTCAAGAAATTAGAATATTACATGCAATGATTTTTGTAATCTGCCAAGATGTTATTGGCAAATTTGGCGCGACAACTGTTGATCTGAGTTTGTTTGGTAGCGAAGATCTGTGACATGCAAGCATCGTTGTTAGCGAATCCTTCGAATCCAGCACCACATGCAAATCCAAACTGCTTGTACATAGAAACAACTTTCACAGCGTCACTGTAAATTTCATATTCTCTTGATAGGTTCTCTGAAAGAAAGTTACGGTAGTCGAAGTCCGGCCTTGACATGATAACTGATGCTGGTGCAATCTCGTCTTGCAGATCCAAGGCATTCGTAATACTTATTGAAAGAGCTGAAGTTGAAATTTGATTTTGAAATGGAAGATGATGAAATATTACTCGCAAACTTTCATCAAGCCACTGATACCATTGATGTACATATTCTCAATTTCTTGTCGGTGACATTCGGGTTCGAATGCAAGAATGCCTGAATTACTAAATTTTTATGAAATGAATATGATGATTTTTACCATAACAATTAGAGAGACCCAAATCGGATTTCAATTGCAGTCCACAACATTGGAGCAGATCTGGGTTGCACATTCCATTTGTTGACGGGGTGCAAGCAGTGACCACGTTTAAAGAAACTGAACAATAACAAAATTGATTTTTACAATTTTTTAAAAATCCAAGTCTAACTTACTTGCCAACACGACAATCAATGCTAGGAACTTCATGTCGTGGAACGGGGAAAGCCGGCAAAATGTTTCTTCAATGGGATTAAGAAATGAAATTTCTTATCAGTTCACGGGGGATTACCAATAATTCTGCACGCTTAACTGTCATTGATTATTGCATTAGAAAAGGCTAAAAACAGAAATTCATTGCAATAACTTGAAGAGCCGGAAGAAGTTTGAGTTGGCATTTACAGTACTAGATACAGTACGGACGAAAATTATTTATTAGTATAATTTCCATTCCAACAAATAGTGTCGTTTGTAATTAAAAAAAAAAGAGCCGCAAGTGCCAAAGTTATCGAATAAATAAGAATTACGCCACTTTGAAATGTTCTATCTTAATTTTTCGGATTTAAAAAAAGTTACCAATTGCAAAATTGAAGCTCACATTTCGTTAAATATACTCCGATGATTTCGGACAATTTAGAAAATTCTAGATTCCTTTTTCAGACTTAAAAGTTGACAACTTTCCTCGGAAAAGTCTGAATACGATTTCCCAGATCCGGTACTCTACATCATTGGAAAAGTTGAAAACCATAAAAAGGAGTAAAGTATTTGACATCGATGCTGAACTGTCTCAGAACCACTCTGAAAAACATTCAGTCATCCATCTGTGGGTAAATAGCGTTCCTGTCACAACATTTATAACAACCTTTTCTCAAACTTTGGAAAGTATGGAAACGAACGATATCTTACAAATCTCCACAATCGGGCTCAAACTGGGAAAGTTATGATTTTTTGAAAGTATAGCCATTTTTTGGTACTTTTTGGGCCACAACTACCCGAAATTTTTTTTAAACAACTATTTTATTTGGATTCTAAATTAACTTTTTACGCTCTTTCCAACCATATACGTCTCGATTTTTTTTTGAGGGCAACACTTGGGAGTCATTCCATGTTAAAAACTCTCCCAAATAAAAAGAAATTTTCAAATTTCCAGTGAGGCACTTTCAACTTTTTTTCCAGCTGTATTGCCGCAAAATGTTTTTAAAACTTTTCCTGAACTTAGGCCAATTCTTGTTTCGCACTTTTTATCTTTTTTCAAAATTGATACATCTATATCATAACCTTTTTCAATTGTCACACACCCAGTCATCCAATAAAAATCAGGAATAATAGTTTATTCTTATCAAAAATGATAATACACAGTTTAGAATGACAATTATTATAATATAATTTGTTTCGATTCTGACATCATTTTTTTGGTTTCACACAGCCTCTCTCATCCGATTATTCCTCCACTGTATGGCACTGAAAATTCAGCAAATCAATAAATTGAAGTAGATCTGGTCAAACTAACAGACGCATCTAGCAGCACATTGCGGGAATCGGGTGAAAATATTGACACGAGAATATTCGCAAGCCCAGAATTGGGAGTCATTCGATTTGTCACCGCAGTTGTTTTTGAACTGGGTCTCGAAACAAATCAAGTACTTGTTGGCCAATCTAAATCGTTTTTTTTTTGAAATATCAAAAAATATTTGTTTCTCACGTGCAAGCTTGAGTCGCATCCACATCACTAGTAACTTCATAGTCGAGTCTGCATTGCCTAAGCGTTTGTCCACTGTCTCCCTTCCAAGTTTGAGACATGCATCCCTCATTTGAGAGGTATGCTGAAACATTGGTTTCGTTTTCTTATCATCATACTATTTTGACTCAAAAAGTTCAGACACATTCTCGTATTTCAACAGAAAGGTGTGTGAATGTTTAGTTGTGTACTGAAGAAATCAATGGTAATAAAAAATTCACTTTGCAATCCAGCTCCACAGACGAAGTGCATTTGGTTGAACAGACCAACAAATTGATAAGCGTTGAATGGATTGGCTGAGACCGAAACAAAGTGGACCGGGGACATACAGTTGGCATATTGATCTCCCATGCAGACCTTGAATTCGCGAAAAGCTCTGTAAAAGATTTTTTGTTTTTTATTAAGTTTCAGAAAATATTACTTGCAAACTTTGCGGATTCCAGTTTCTCCTTGGTTCTGGTAGTATGTCTCAACCTGGAAATGTATGTGTTTTGATCTTTTTCAAATCATGATGACATTTTTAAACCTTTTAAACCTATTGGCTTTAAACTTATTATGTTCTAATTTGATGTTTCCTACACACACATTCACTACACGCACTCTTCAATAATCGTCATATCACCTCATTTTCTAGTTATCATTGCTATCAATGATAAGCATGATTGCATTTCGAAAACTTGCCTCCTTTCTGAAATTCTCAGGATCGAACCATGGTTGTGGGTCGGCAATGCTCAAGGCTTTGTTGAGATCGGCTTGGCACTCCATGTAGACTGTGGAGTCGCAGTCCAGACCTCCGGATAGTACACCTACAAACTGTAATGGTCCGTGGGTCTAATTTTAGGAGGACTATAAATTTTTGGGTGGCTTACCGGAGAATCCAATGATGAGGACCAGAAGTGACAAAGACTGGTCTCGCCACATATCTGAAAATTATATTCAAAAATCAAAAATATGCATACAAATAAAAAGTACAAAAATATAATATGCATTTCAAGCAATTATAAAAAATCATCTAACAATTCTTCCTTAACAAAAATTACAAACGTTTATTCCCAATAAGAAAAATGAATTAATGAACAAAACATTTTCAACCAAAACATTACGATATGCACTGTTGAAACAAGATGATTAGATGACGCGTTCGTGGACTGAAAATTTTCAAATTTTATATTTTTTCAAAAAAAAAAAAAAAATTTCACTCACATGTGCAGAAAATTTGAGAGCACTGTGGGTAGAGAAGGTTGGTACCGGTACGCTCGTAGTTGCATCCCCAGTAAGCAACCTCTGGCTTCTTGCATGCGTTCCAGAACAATTGGAAGTAGCAGTTGGCGGCGATTTCAACGTATCTGAATTTTTTAGATTTTCATATTCTGTATAGGTGTAATGCTCACGCGCAAGCCTCATTTGGATCGGCAGCGGCTTTCACATTGAAGTCATTGTCGCATTGTCTCATGGCGGCGGTTTGATTGTTGAAAACGGCGGATCCACAATCTTCAGCGTTGGCGAAGACTGAAAAAGGAAAATGTTCTTTTAAAAGTTTGCGATGAGTTCTTACTAGAGAAACCGGCTCCGCAAACGAAATCAAGTTGGTTCCAGATCTTGACGTATCCATTGGCCTGGTCTTGAGTGAATTGGACTCCGCCGTTGCTGGAAATTAATACAATTAGAAAATCGTTAATAAAGAAGCGAAACTCACTTAGTAGCTGTGAGGAGACCGAACGGATTTTGAGCGCATGCGAAGAATTGACCATCTGTACTGAAAATTCACAAAAATTGTTTTGCACTCTCTCATTTACAAAAGTCTTTACTAGCACTGCTGGTACTCCTTGTATGCCTCGCAAATGTTCAAAAGTCCCAAAGCTTGGTAGTCAGCGAACGACTTCTCAATGGCACTTCTCAAGTCTTGGTATTTGGTAACGCCGAGTGATTCTATAAAGAAACGTTATCGTAGGAATGTGTACGCGAGTTGGATTTTTTATTACGGTCGAAGCCCATTTTAGTGTTGAACTGCGATTGGCATGTGTTGAGACTGTTGCCGCCATTGCACGCCGTGAGTCGCGGGTCCTGAGCGGCAACCACACCTGGAATTAGAGATTTCTTTTGGATATCGGCAGATCTGGGAATTCTTTGGGTACAACTGATCTTCTGAGTTCTGAACATTTTTTTAAAATTCTATTTTCCTTTCATTCTGCTCCAACTTTTTTCTGATAAAGATCTTTTGCCATCTGCTACTGCACTCGGATGCAACATTAAAAATTCAAAAACGTGTTCCACTATTATTAAGTTCTCAGATCATTTCCAAGTCATATAGTTAGTCATAATCGTTTGAAAGCGTCACCACGATGAAACACGTAGAAACAAGAGGCTTATCAAATTCGGGTGGAGGTTGATAAGGATAATCAATCCGGTTAGTGCAAATGAATGAAATGTCTTAAATGACATTTTCTGGAGCCGTTCGTTTTTGAAGAGATACTATAGGTTCGGAGCAAAATGGAACACGAAAGAAGAGCTCGGAGTGAGCAATATGAACAGTACAGTATTCAAAAGTTAACAAGATGCCGTTTTTGCCAAGCGGGTTCAGTTAGAAATTAAGTAGAAATTACAGTAAAAAGTCAAAGTTTTGATGCACACGGAATTTTTCCAAACAAAAAAAAAGAGACCTAGGTTGGGATTGAACTGGGCTATAAAAAAAGATGGATAAGATCTTACCGACTAGTACAAAAATAGCCAGGCAATAATTAGTTGTGCACATTTCGAGAGAGGGGAGCAGGCGTAGTGCAAAGTCGTGTCTTTCTCTTATCGCTCGTGCCGCTGGCACTTCTGTCTGATTCTCTACCTTTCAAGGGCCGGCTCGCCTTTAATGGGTTTGCCAACCAATTCCCTACCTCCCTATCTTTTCCACCTCTTTCAGCGCTAGCTTGTATGTGCACGTTTATCGTTTCGTTTATTATGATAGTCATAGCCATCAAATTGTATTATCACTTTTTTTCTCGGTGTGAAGAGCGAAGTGGAGAAGAGAGGGAGCGGCTCTGAAAAATGACGAAAACCTCTCTCTTGACTTTTTTTCAGTGTTAATGTGACGACGTGTTGAGGAGGGTGTGGCAGCGATAGGTAATTGAAATGTTACCAGTCATCAAACAGTTCCAAGATTTATTAAAAGTCATGGGAAGTCAATTGGGGGGATGGTAGGACAGGAACAGAATGTCAGGGAAATGATGACTTTGCACATCGAAAACAGATCAAAAGATGGCATCGAAGAATGAAATATTACACAGTGAAGGAGGAGAGATCATCTATTGTTGCACATATATCCCAGTTACACAGTAGCTCATGAGATGTTGGATTTGCTCACAGGTGGCCTGAAAAATGAAGAAAAGTTATTTTCCGTCTTGATTCCTTTTCAAATTATTATACCGTTGGGTGGAAGCTCTTAACAAACGCGCAGTTGTTTTTAGCAAAACCAACAAGGTCCTTGATTCCAAACGACTTTGAGATCTTGGCCACATAATCGCACACCTTGTCCAATTGCTCCTTTGTCGGTTCAGCCGTGGATGGGTAAGCCTATAAAAAATTTTGGCTTGAAAAATATTTAATGGCTTCACGGGCACACAGAGATAATAACTGATGTTTGACAGTGATGTGATGTTCAAATAGGGACACAAAAAAATCTTGAAAAGAGACAAATGACTCACGGTTGGTTGTGGGGCGACGAATGATGGAGACGAGGTTGGCTTAGCCAGTTCTATTTTTATTTCACGAGAGGGAACTGCCGCAGATGTCGTTGGAATCCCTCCTGGAGTGTTGATCGCTTGATTGTGTTGTCTGTAATGATAAAAAAGATAACGAGAAGCAACAAAAACATAATAACAGAATGATATCTGTCTAGTAATAACTGCCTAGACAAAAACACGTCTATACAACTCTGTTTTCTGAAACTCACTGGTACCACTCAGCATAATACTTTTCATAATATTCCTTGATTGCTTTGTCATCATCAATAGAAATCGATGCTGGAATTTCAGAGAATTGGTTGATAGCAGATCCGAGAGAAGGCCCAGAGGTGGTGACAAGGACTCCTTCATCTTCATTCCAGCCTCCAAGATAGGATTCTCCAATTTTTGCTACAGTAGAGCCACTTGTGGGGAACGTATTTGGGTGTGTTGGCGGAGGTGTGGTTGTGGAGGGCGTCGTTGATGCCTCTGAGGATGTCTCAGTAGACGGTTCGGTTACGATTTCGTTGACAGTTGTGACTTCTGTTGGAGCCTCTGTCGGAGCCTCTGTTGCTTTTGTGACTTTACGCAACTTGCGATGTTTTCGCTGAAAATCAAAAAAATCATCATTCAATACTCTGAATGAAAACTGCTTACTCTATGACGACGCTTTCTTGGTGCCTTGGTAGAGGTGGTTGGGAGAGTCTCTTCCACTGCATTGGTGGATGCTACTTCGATTTGGTGACTTGGAAACACTTCAATAGAAGCAATCGACGGTTTGACTGAAACCATTGTTGGGAAGACTCTCTCCTGTGCGTACTCGTGAACGGCAGGTGTTCCTCGAGAAACATCAGATGTTTGCTCAGTAGAGGATGGTGGTGGGGAGGGGATTTCAGATGGGGTCACGACTAGTTCAGTTGGAATTGGTTCAAAAGTGGAAGGTTCTGGAGTTTCTGGCTCAGTTGAAGCCTCAGTTATTGCTGGCTCTGAAACCGTTGTGTCTGTAGTCGGCGACGGCTTCTCAGAAGTTGTCAGTATCAATTGAGTAGTGGGGACTCCAAAAGCATTTGCCGGTTCATCAGTATCTTTAAAAATCGGAAGTGACTCGATATTGAATTCTGTGAAACTGAGTGGCGATGGAGTCTCAGATGTCTGAACAAAGTCTGATGGAATTTCGGTAAATGATTCTGACGATGGGACCACTTCGATTGGAGCCGGTGGAGTTGGGTTCAATGGCTCTTCGGACTCAAGCGATGCTGGGTTGACGAAAACTGGTTTGATCGGATCCGGAGCACCTGGAAGTCAAATTGTTTGGTGACTGTACGAGGCATTTTATTGGGAAACAGTTATTTTTGTTCAATTTTTCTCAGCTGCGAAAAGGATGAGTTTCCATAATAATTGAGAATTCCTCAAGAAAAAATCCTGGCATAGATAACCGGTAAATTGCAGACCGCTGATGATGTCTAGACCGAATAACTTTTTATAGTAGTTTTATAGACCAACCCCTCAACCGTTCAAATCTTGCCGATCGGAATCTCGGCGGAAGGCTATCCTTGGTTTGAAGCCGATGGAATGTTGCAACTTCCTAAACAGTTCAAAAATCACGTTTTTCCTCAAAATATCGTTTATCACCTCTTTATGACCGAGCGATGGCATCGAAATCTCGTTTGTCTTGATGGTCTTCAAGGCAAAGACCACCTGATAGTGGCATATCAGGAGAAGTACACCGGATAGCCACATCGGATACTGCTCTTCCTGACCACCAGTATCCTGAAAATTAATGCGTTGACTAAAAGAAGTGAGAAGAAAAAAAATTGAAAAGCGAAAAAAAAGAGAAAAGCTCGAGCTTCGATAGGTCATAAAAAAGACCAGAATGCTCGGCACGCGGAAGCTTCTTCCAGAAAGGGGAAATTGTTAAATGGGACGGAGAAAAAAATTGTGGAAGGAATAAAAAAGAGAGATGGGGAAAGATGGATGGGTAATGTGAGAAGAGAGAAAACGATCTTAAAGAAACAATTGGCAATTTCAATTTCACTTCTTCCTCTTCCTACAGAAAATCTGCAAGTGGGCGGGTGAAAGTGAAGAGAGAGAGAGGAACAAGTATGTTAATAGATTCCATTCAACTTTATTTCATTTCTCCCGGTCCAAGATTCCCATGAGATTTTCGAGATTTCAATTGAAAGTTTTTGAAACACAGAGAGAGAGAGAGAGAGAGAGAAGATGAAGAGCGACAGTACCGAACTACACTAAATGTCTGCGGTTCCTTTCTCCGGATGAGCGGCAAAAAGGATAGGAGGAGGACAAGAAGCGGCAAAAAATATCTGATGAGAGGATCTCGATATGGCGTCTCATTCTATTGTCGAATTGCCTAATGACCATCCCTCCCTCCAAACGGGATCACTTTGGCAGTTTTTCTCTTTTTTTTTTGTTGGTCATCCTCATTGTCGTAACCGACCAAAGGAGTAAGGCAACATACACGTCAAACCGGCTACGGTATCCGAGGGGTGGGATGTGGTGTTAGTGCAACACTGGAAGAAGACCAGGAGGGATGAGAGAGATGAAGCAGAATGAGAAGCACCATCACGAATAAACACGGTCAAAAGATCTGACTCCTGAAACTTGATGTTGCGCCACAGCCTCCTCCCCTTCTTTTTTTTCCATCACATCATCACAAAAATCCAGATTTTTTCCCTCCCTCATTTTTGTTGGAAAAGCCACACACACACACCCAAAAAGACAGATGGTTCAAAGAAAGATGTTTCCGAAAAAATTGTTGAAAAGGAGGAGGTGAGAAAAAGCGAGGGACTTGATTTTCCTGGTATGATATAGATTGCGCAATTCTGATAAGGAAAAAAAATAAGATAAGAAGTGTGAGAATTCAGAATTTTTTAGTGAGACAAGAGAAAAAAAAGAAGAAGAAATGCAAGAATAAAAGAAAAATTTATTTTTGAAAAAAGGCTGAACTTTGAGAACTGGAAAAATTCAAAAACTCACAGAAGAAAGCAGGAAAAGTTCGCTAAACTTCCCCTAATCCTTCTCGAGCCCACGAACCCAAAAACAAGGGAAAATGTTCAGATTGGTTTTTTCCTTCTTTTTCTCTCCGTTCAACCAAACAAACCGCCTAATCAAATTAAGTTTGAAAGATGTGTAGCTGTAACAAACCGAAGTCGTACTAGTCAGGAAAAAAATTTATGTGGCATAAAAAGGAATGGCTCCGAAGCATGAAACATCTCCTTGGATACTGTTGTCCTTTACACCACACTAGAGGCATGCAAAACTGGAAGAATGCCGTATTTTTTCTCTCCTTGTCTTTTTGTCCGAGAAGTTCTTCCTTGATAGCAGAAGCGAGATTCAGTGATGGATTCTGATTGGAGAGATAAAATATAATGAAAATGATTAGATAATGAATAAAAAAAAAGAAAAAAAGAAAGACTAATTATTTTTAGGTGATTAGTTTATGATGGTGTTAGCCAGCTAATGTGTGGCTGATCGAGATGGCTAATTGGGTTATTTGTCGGGTAATGTTCAAAAAATATGTTGATCGAGAACGAGAGTGAAAAATATTCGATAACACAATCTTAGAGAAGACTGAGTTTAGAGCCCATGCCAAACTGGATAACAAAAAACAGATTTGTGCTCGGGTATCACGATACATTGAGAAACAAACTTCAGACAATAAACGATAAATTATAGTTTTTGTTTTTGTCTGGTCTCACTATACAATTTCTCTATTGGTGATAACCACGTTATTTTCCAAGAAACAGAAACGGAACAAGAATTTTTGGTGGATATCTGTGATAAAACATAATACTACTACTTGTTGGACGATGGGGAGGTTAAAAAAATATCTGAAAGAAGATTAAATGGGAAAAGGATCAGAGCGTGCTTTAACAAAGTAAGACTTTTCGACTCCTTTCAAAACTCATTTGAGAATTTTCGGAACGGAATTCGGAATTTAGAAAATTTCTGAACCTTTCTTTCGGAACTGGAGCGTTTGGACTACGGTATGTCAAAGGCGCAAATGGAAAGTTTTTTTGGGGTTCTTGAGGAGAAAAGCTCTCCTTTTATGCGTTTTCGAAATCTTTTGGTCATTCTTTCACCATTTTTTTGCTCATTTGTGAAGAGAAAATGCGTTTTCTACTTGAAAGTCAACAATCAGAATATTCCAAAATCCGAATGTTCAAAAATCAGAATAAGTTAAGAATAAATTTACAAAGTCAAAATGAATTTTGAAAGTTCCTGATTTGATACTCGAAAGTCAAACTTTTTGCACAGCTCTCTTGACGATTCAGCGACTGTCTTTAAATCTGTTAGGACAGGAGTTAAAAATCTAGAAAAGGAATACAGAAAACAGAAATTTGAGTTGTTTTACCACACTTTTGAGATCTTATTACTCAATATATTTTTGAGGATAGTTTTTCTGCTAAATTTAGACATTGAGTAACCCTTCTCAGGGGAAATTGATGTAAGTGTCCCGAGATTCTGTGAAATGAATTTATTCAGTCTTTTTCTTGACTGCAATCAATCATCAATACGAGAAACATTCATTTATTCGAAAAAAAAGGCAAGCTGCAACAAAGACAAAGGATCGGAAGGTTTTTTGAGCAAATCGACAAAACTAAAGCAATTGACCATATCAATTCAATTAAGTATCCGTTTTCTAAGTATGTACACAATACAAACCGCTATACAAAAAAGGCAAAATTCAAGCATGAGATCACAGCGACTAATTCATCTTGATAGTTTTAAGAACATCTTGTAAGCCTAATCGCATTGTCACAGCGTTGGCTCGTCTCCGAAGGAAGTCGGTGTTTGAGGTACTATCCGAGATTGCTTGCTTGGTACAAATCGCGATGATATTGACTTCATCTGTGATGGACACTTTGAGGCAGGACCCGAAATGTTGAGACAAGTCCTCGATTATCTGAAGATTTAATATTAAGAGAGGTATAAGATTGGAGAAACAAACCTGGTCAACTTCAGGGCCATCTTCCTCTTGTGATAGGATATTGACAACTAATGCACCTGAATGAGAATTAATGACCTGCTGGTCTAGGTTCCAAGAATCCATACCTGTAGTTTTCACAATTGAGGAGAAGGAACTATACATTTCAGGCGTTCTGAACAATTTGGAGGGGCAAGGAATGCTTTTTGAGCTGTCACACGCATCCAAAAACACTACATCATATTTTTCTTGGTTCCTTCCAGCTCGCTTAACAAATTCCAATCCGTCTGCATTTATTGTCCTTCGAGTCCCGTCGTTCACCACGTTAAACCATTTTTGTGCCATACTGACCACAGTTGGATCCAGCTCAACCGCAGTGATGTTAAGCTGAAAAAAACGTTGCAAGATAATAATTTTGCTTGGGTGAGCGACCTTTGGATTAAGCGAATGCAGAAACATATCCAAACTTCCGCCTCCTAGCCCAATTTCCAGGATTGCTTTCCCATCGTTGTCAGAGTCCACCAGTGAGAGAGCCGACACAATAAATGGAGCGCTGATTAAAGCGGCAATCTGTAAAACATATCCCTTGTTTAATAATTTCTCGAACATTTATCATCCAATATCTTATTACTTATCCATCTGCTCATCACATGTCTCAACGACTTTACATTACGAACATCTCGTATACCCTCCGATTGGGAGAGGCGAACACATGGTGTGAAGTAATGAAAGTGATACGTTGCGTTCAAAAAGATGGCGAGTTGTATCATGTTTGTTCATTTTGCACAAACATGAGAGCAGAAAATTTAAGAAGAAGATGGGTCGGATTATGCGTATTTGATAAGAGAGAGCGAATCTTGTTCAATTTTTGAGTTTGTATGTGTGTGAAGAGCATGAAAAACAAACTTACGTATTGAGCTCTTATCGAGAGATGGTCAATTTTCCACATTCGAGTGTCCGAAAATTCAAATGTTCTATCTGAAACATATTGAGAGCGTTAACAAATCTAAACTGATACTAAAAACTTTTCTGAGTACAAAGAATCAGACATTTTTGTTTTTTTTTTACTTTGCAGCGTTTGGAATTTATCTCACGGCTTTGAAAGTCATTTTCTAATTTTATATGATATACTCGAGGTTAGACGGCAACTTCTGGACGGAGGTAGATTCCGGATACGGTCGCTACTGAAACCTACCAGACTCCGACAAGCCAGTGACAAGGTTCCGATCTAGTAGCATTCCAACATCCGACCAAAATCTGACCATGGCCACTAGGCAGACGTTTTTGGAAATGTTTCGACAAAAACCTGACCAATATTTGTTTGAAATCCGATCCCGTCAATTCCTGACTAGAAGCTACAAGCCCCAAACAGGATAGAGAATAATCTGCCTTACTAAACTGTTATATACAAGATTCTTCTGTTACCTAAAAGGTTTTTTCATCTTTATGTAATTTTTCTCACAGTGGAAGCTCCCAAGCAACAATCTGATACCGCATGGAGTCATTTTTATCGCATTTCCATCCATAATAGTCACAAAATCATACCTCCTTGCGGAATTAGCCTCACAATCGTATCACTCTCATCTTCGAACCCCTTCACAAACATATGACGCTCCACCATTTGCCCGAGCTCAGTTTCCACTTTACGGTCCACCACGACATAACAGTTTTCTGTAACTGACGAGCATTCTTGAGTGATCACTGACTCTTCCAAGCCTTTTCTGCAAGTGATTATCGATTTTTAGTGATTATCGAGAGTAAAACTAACTTTTGATTCAAAAGATTCTCGTCTAGATCACGTCCATACTGCTCATCAACCAGAACTTCCGACGGGAGTACGTAGAAGTACTGAAAATCGATTTTTAACAAAGATATCCGTTGTGTAACTAACCAAGAGAAGATAAACTAATATGCAAAATGAAAAAATGATTGCAAAGTATTGCTTTGTTTTCATTGACACCGTTCGCGGAGGTTTCCTGAAATAACTAAGTTAGTAATGATTTTTTAAAGTTCCAAAGACTTGCTTCAAGTGGAAAACAGTCTCATTTGGCGTGTGGAGAATTCCCTGCGGCATTGAAACTGCTCAGTGTTCACATGTTACTCATGTGATATTTGTTTCTTCTGAAATTGCAGAAAAATTTATCCAGTTTTGAGCTTTGAATCACAGATTTAAACGCTCAAATCTTGCGAAGAAGAAATGCGTCAACGATTTTTGTTGGCGCAAAATGCGCGCAGAAGGCGCAAAACTCATCAACGTCTAAGACAAGTGTCCCCGTCCTCCGCCGTTTGCCTCCTCCCTCCTACTTATCGGTCAACCTAGTGTGGTGATGATTTGCGGTTGTGTTCGGTGACGCGCCATATTTATTTTTCCTTTTTTTTTTTCTTTTATCCCCACTTTGGTTCAACTTCAGCTGCTCCAAACTTTTATATTCCTTTCTTTATGAATAGAAAAATGTGAGAAAAGGTAAAAACTTTGGGAAAATTCAGTTTGTGAGCGATTTTCATGAGGGAACTTCGTTTTTGTATGCGTTTCACATGTTTTTGCCACACCATTCTGTTCCAGGGAATAATGAGTAAGAGAAGTAACTTCAAACTGGTACTTTTCTTGTTATTCTTGCCTTGTCGCATCCCAGATTTCATTTCGCTTCCATTCGGACGTCGTCCATCGAATCCAATTTGCTGACCGCAACAGATGTCCGCCCAGATGTCTTCAATTAATGCTCTTTGTGCATAATGCACGACTGTGACCTCGGTTTTCTTTATCTTCTTTCTATTGCTTTACACATCACCATCGCAGAATTATTTCATTTTTGACTGTTTGACGTTTTTGGTTTTAATCCCCCAAGTTGGTTTCTTTTATGTGTCTGCGTCTCCTCCAAATGAACACTCTCTCCACGATATGGTATATCTCTTATGTGTTTTCCCCGGGGGTTGGCCGGACCCCAACAGACGAGGGTCAAATCGATGACAATGCCTTCCTACTGTTCTGCATAGATGACTAATTCATTTTGACACCGAGAACAGTTCCACGCATAGTTGACCTTCTTATCAGTTTCAAACGTTTCGCTTGATGTTTATTTGAACTTTTTTCTTTTCTTTTTTTTATTGCCCTCCGCTTAGTTCCCCTCTCTCACTATACTGACTTTTACAGATCTCAACAGAAAGATCATGCGGGATCCGGATAAGGTAAAAAGCGGGCCGATCTGTGACACGTTCGCCGTCATTGTGTTGGAGGAGAGCGACGATGGTGAGTATTATGTTGCATCAAGGTGTCAATCACAGGAAAGTTATCAGAACCAAATAAGCGGGGGGGGGGGGTTTGATAGATAAAAACGGTTGAATGAAACACGAATTATTTTCAGAAAACGCCCTTCCCGATGTTCTACACGAAGTACAATCACCACACACATCGGACATCATCCCGACGTCTTCAATCAGAAAATTCGTGCGGCCACGTGGATGGTACAACCAATCAGAAGCGTCTCCACCAGAGTTTTTCTATCAGATACTCACTACGGAGAAAGGCGAGAGGAGAATCGCATACGTACTTTCGGTAAGATAATTTTCCGAAAGTCAGAAAATTCTGTGTGAAATGAGAAACAATAACACATATTCCAATGAGAGATGTTCCTGAGAGCGCATTTGCATATTCCTTCCAATTATTCCATAATTTTCAGACATGGGAAGAAGACAAGAAGACATCAAGTTTCAGAGCAGTCTCCCTTGTGCTCATCAGTCAGAACTTCCATCCCAACGCATTCAAAGAGATACTTCTAGAAATATCCAATGATCTCCGCACTCCAGAATTCTCTTCCTCATCTGAACTTATCCGATTCCTGACCAATGAACTTATTGAGGAAGGATCCACCATCGAAATACGAACGAAAACTTTACATGTCGAATTAGGATTTGAATTGAGCCCCGTGTCGCCAGTGACCGGCAGCGATGCTGCCATGTTATTCAAAATGCTAGGTAAGTGATCAAGTTGTTCTAAAAATTCAAAACCGAAATATTTGCAGGATTTCAAAATGTTGTACAAATCATACACGCACTTTTATCCGATTGCCGGATAGTACTAGCCAGTTCTTCCCTAATGCGGTTATCTAGATGTCAAAATGCCATACTATCTCTTCTCTACCCATTTGTATATGTGTAAGTAATACATTTGAATTTAATTATCCAAATACTTACATTTCAGTCACTCATGCGTCACAATTCTCCCTGATTCGCTGGCCGAAGTTTTGGAATCACCGACGCCGTTTTTGATAGGAGTCCTTACCGAATTCGTCACGGTACGTTGAGTTGACGTTCAAATCACAGCCAATTTACAATTTTTTTTGCAGTCATTCGGCGATGAAAACATTGTGGTTTTCTTGGACAATGGGACAATACACATCCCCGATCACACTGACATTTTCAAGTCGGATGCGTACTATTACGATTTACTTCAATGCAGACTACATGATGTGATGTTCAAGACAACTAGTGAAGAGGATCTCGCGATTCCAACCAGCGAAAGGGTAGATGTGGATGAGTTCATACTCGATAAGAAGCTTCGAGCATGTTTCATTCTTTACTTTTCCGAACTTATGTATGGATATCAATATTATGTTCTGTACACTCGGATCAAAGGAAACTTCGAAAAGAAGCGCACCACTTCGCTGACATTTCACGTTGGTGCGTTCCGTGGATTCCGAAAACTCACGGATATGATGTCAAGTTCGCTTCTCAAAAGTGTCTACTTCCAAACTTTTATCCAGTCACGAGCACTGCCACGGAGGAAACATGATCTATTCGATGAAATTTCATGTCTTAAAGAGCTTGACCAACTAATTTACAAGCAAAAGTCAAGCAGTTATGAGAGCAGGAAGATCATTGAGCAGATAGCGTGTGAGCTTATTCAAAAGGAGAGATACATGGATAAATGCTCCAAGAGCAAGCTTCCCCAGGTCTTTACGAAAATCTATTGGACAAAAGGCCAACCGTTGACACAGAACACCAAAAACATCATTCACACTGTCAAGCCAAAGATGAGAAGTAATGTGATCCTTCAGGCAATGCTTCCAACTGTGAACACCCATGTTGAGTATCATGCCAATCAGTTTGAAACCTACGCTCATCGGATTGAGGCTCTTCGTAACTGCATCGGGGATATATTCGATTCAAAAGCCTCGTTTGCCAGCAAGTCACTAGATGCTGTCAGGTCCTCTATGAGATTCGCGCCTCTTCGGATTGAGCTCTGCCGATTACTAAACCAAAGATCTACCTCACACTTTGTACTGGCTGACAAACAGTTCGACGACATTGCTCTTCTGATGAATGCAGCTCTTCAAACAGAATGCGAGGAAGACAAAGATGGAGTTGTGAGGACTCTGATGTATCTGTCAAGCGTTTATAGTAGAAAGCTTGCTCAAGGAATCCAACAGTACATGTATACGGTATTACAAGAACATAAGGTGTGGAAGAACCAACGATTCTGGACGTCATGTTTCTATTATGAAGTTCACGAGATGTTATTTTCTGAGATGTTGAAAAAAGATAGAAAGCTGGTGAGTTGAAATTTTGGTCACATTCCAATTTCTTACATTTTCTCTTTCAGACTGAAAGTTTATGGTGCCACACCCTACGTCCGTGTGCTATGGAAATGATTGACACAGATGACACAGACCAGGAGGAGTTGGTTAGGCAAGAAAACGAGATGATTCAAGCTCAAGCGAAACACTTTCTCAACTTGATCATCTGTCTTCAAATCCCACTCACCGAGGAATTTTTCGACCATGAGAACAGTCACGCTGAGACTCAGAAAGAGAAATCTAAATGGATCGCATATACACTTGATCGATTCTAGGCGTCACTGGAAGAATCAATGGTTTATCACTGTCACAGATCCAGAATTATGTTGAAGCGCACGTGGAAAGTCTACGTGATGTGTACGTCGAACTGGCAACTGGCGATCATTTGAAGAAGGACAACTTTGATCCGATTCTAGTCTGTCCAAGTGAATTCTTGCTCTGCGATCCAATCGATTGCTACCTGCTCGCAAACATGGAACAGTCATCGATGTCCATGGATTGCCTGGAAAGCTTACTCCCGGCATCGGGCTCGTTGTTCCTGACCAATTATCGTGTGATTTTCAAGGGAAAGTCTGTTGATATCAATGGTGAGTGAATAATACAAATATTTTTTGATTATTAATTTCAAATTTTCAGCAAGCAACGGCACCGTCGTCCAGACTGTTCCTCTGTATTCTGTGGAATCTTTGAAAAAGTTGACCTCCAGCAAGATGCTCATTCCAACTCAAATCATCGAGAAGGTAACATTTGCATCATACTCGAATTAAAAAAAAATATTGACCTTACAGGGTATCAAAATCGAGCATATCATTGCAATTCGTTCTGCTTGTGCAGCTACAATTATTGTTGCTTTCGATGAAGAGGAAATCAGTAATACATGCATAGAGAAGTTCTTGGAATTTATTGAGACCAACTCACACAACAGCTTTGCCTTCTATAACATTCGGAAAGAAGTAAAGGTCGCGGACAACACCAGTCTCAAATTCTCCACATTAAATTCTGCTCTTCGAGGGTTTACCAAAAAGAAAGCGGATGCCAGAAGAATCAGAAGTCACTCTTCGCATCGAGGATCTATCCATATTAGTTTCGACAAGCTAGGTAGTCTTCACCTTTTTTATATAGCCACTAATATTATGAAAATTTTTCCAGAAGATTGCGATCATCTCAAGAAGAACGCCTACATTCGCTACGCTGTCATTGACTATCCAAGATTGGGTTTGAATACAAAAGTGGTTAAGTTAAGAATGTCGGCTGCCAACGTAGACTACACCATCTGTCCAAGTTATCCTGGAAACTTCATTGTGCCGAGCGAAACCAACGAATCTGAGATTGCAAAGGTTGCAAAAGGATTTGTGGAGCACCGACTGCCGGTTGTTGTATGGATGCACAGGAATGGTGCCCTTCTAATCAGAGCTAGCGCCTTCACGTCAACTGATATGGTGAGGAAATTGAAAAAAGTGGTGAACTACCGAAGGAACGCACCGAAACTCACTGGAAGTATGACAGGCAGTCAGCAAACGTTACATTCAAAGGCTAGCAGCAATGAGGAGAGTGCATCAAATGTGGTGCCAGGCGCTGAGATTAAAAGTGCGGAGGTTCAGGTATCCCATAATCTTCTCAATATTTTAAATGTTAAATTGAATTCATTTTCAGCTGAATTATTTTAACAAGCTTGCCAATTCCTCACAAAAAGTGCTCACATTCGCCCTTCCAACTCAATACGCTGACAAAAACAACATCTTCACAGATGGCTGCATGTTATCCCATACTAATGGTTTCTCAAGTCAAGTACACAATCGAAACTCTGTCACCATCACATCGAACGGGTTCCCAACATCTCGATATCATCGAAAAGCGCTGTATGTAATTCTGGAAAAAGGTCAATCTGTGAAGATTCCCGCTGATTCTAATGCAGAAGCAATCCAAGTGCGATCGGTTAAAGAGTCGGAATTGAGGAGGGCATACCATAAGGCTCGTCATATATTCAGCAAAGAGACACAGAATGATCCCAAGACTTCTCATTTAGAGGCCTGGGACTCGTCAAATTGGCCACATTTAGTGAGAAAACTGTTCGATTCCTCAATCTTAAAATTATTATTTTAGGTTTCACGAATGTTGGAACTATCGAATGCTATTGTTGCTCTGATGAGCTTGTATAACTCCTCTGTGGCTATTTGCTTAGAATCGGGACGATCCATCACTACCATTCTTTCGGCTTTGTCACAATTACTCTCCGATCAGTTCTATCGAACTTGTGAGGGATTCCGCGTGTTGATTGAGAAGGAGTGGCTCTCCTTTGGTCACTATTTTCACAAAGATGCCGAAATGTGCTCCCCGTCTTTCATGTGCTTCATGGATTGTGTTTACCAGGTAAGATTCAAAAGAAGATTAATGTGTGAACAAGTATTTGTTCAGATTACTCAACAATATCCGACAGCATTCGAGTTCTCCGAGTTCTACATCAGTTTTGTTGCGTTTCACTCAGCAGCTGGATATTACAGAACATTTGTGGATGATTGCGAGGAAAAAAGAATTCAATCAGATGCCAACGAATTCTACTTACCTGATGATCTCTCTACGATCAGCATTTGGGAGTCGATCAAGTTGAGGAATCGCGTCAGTAAAGTATTCCTCAACGAGATGTACGAGCCGTTCAGTGACATTCTTGTCCCATCCAGCTCAGTTCCAAAAGTGAGAATGTGGCCATTCTTGATAGAGTCCCATTCGCGATATGGAACTCCGTATGACATTGGTGAGCTATTCGAAAAAAATATCTAGAAATCTAAAAACAAACAATTACAGACTCTTCGTACCACGAGAGGAAACTAGTGGATCCAGATCTCGAAGATGACGAAGAAGACTGGACTAACCTCAACAATAGTGATGATCAAGAGCCAAGTATGATAGTGTATAACTATTCACAACGAGATCCTGCTCACATGGATGTTATCTCAACGTTGCAAAAGAGCTTCCTAGTTGATCTGTTTGATTCGTATGAAAAGAAGCACGCAGCCGAGGCCAATCGGTGAGATTAACAGTTTAAGAAATGAATATTTAGCAGCTTTTTCAGCAAAGAGACTATCCATGAGCTATCGCCATTTGTAGCTGGAGCGCGGCCAGTACCATGTCACTACTGTGCAAATATTCTAACAAGGTGGAGTAAAGGTGAGGGGTTTTGATTTGAGCTAAAACAAAAAAAACAATTTTCAGCCGTTTACTGCAAAAAATGCCGAATTCATGTTCACGAGGGATGTGTTAATCGAAACATCACAATAAACCACATTATACACACATGGGATGCCAAACCACTAGAGAACATCAAGATGCCGTCGGCGGCGATTCAAATCAGCACACCACAAGGTGAGACTAGTTGAAAACTGGTTTCTCTAAAATAACAAAAATGGTTTTAGCTGAAAAGATCGCGTATAGTCCAAACACGACGCTAACGAGAGAATCTATGTCGCCTGTATCATCTAACAATCTCCCACCACTTTGTAGCGGATATTTGTCGAAACGAGGTGCCAAACTGAAGCTTTGGGTACCTCGATTTTTTGTTTTGTATCGAGACACGCCAAAAGTCTACTACTACGAAGACTTGGAAAATTGGAAAAATGCAGAGAAACCGTCTGGCTCCATTGATCTCACCGAATTCAAAAGCTGTCTTTTGGAGCAAAACGGGAGAAGAGCATTTATGGAGGTGAGTGGAAATGACTCTCCTTTTCATAATGATTTTATAAAAATGCCCTTTTCAGCTTCACATGAAAAACCGAACGTACCGTCTTCTTTCGGAAAACATGAATGAGGCTATTCGCTGGAAAGATTGCATCGAGCAAGTGATTCGAGAATAGGCACTGTTAAGCTGTTCAAATTTACTCACATTTTTACTTTCAATTATTTTGGTTATTATCATTCTCATACTTCCCCAGAGTCATTCTCCTTCTCGGACTTATTTTGTATCATGTTCAAATTTCCTAACTCATCTCGGTGTCAAATTTTCATCCAAACTTGTCCTGTCCAATCAATGCTCAGTTTCAAAATCTAGTCAACGATGTTTGTGAATCGAAATTCTATTGTATGCCATTTTGCATTTTACTATGTATTGTATTTTGCCGCCAAACTAATCGACGGGTTCAACAATAGCCAATAGACGGTTACGAAATTAATGAAGATTCTTAGATTTTTGTCGAAGGGTTTTTGAAGATTTTTAGTATCCGAACATATTCCGTGCTATACTTTTTTCAGATTGATGTTTTGATGAGCCATGTGCGGTGCATGCTCGAAACTCCTTTTCACTACATTTGATAATCCTCATTTTCTGGACAGAGAGTCATCGCCTAGAATATTAAAAAAGGAACCTTTTAGAAATGATTAGGAATCTGGAACAACTTCCGGATTGTTCAATTTTTGAAGACCTGGAGATTACACTAAACGATAATTTTTTTTTTCTTGGAAAACTGTGAGAAAAACTTGTGTCATTGAAGCACATTTGCATCATTTTTCAAATTACCATCGCAAATTTATCGTTTCTTCTTTTTCCTGTTGCCTTATTAGGATTGAGGTGTTGACGGTAAAGATACATGTTGGAAATGATTAGAACCGGTAAAAAACCAATAGTGATCATTGTGCCGAGCCATGATCAACAGTTCTCTTTTGGCATGGTCTGGAGCAATACAACATGACTTCAAAACCTGAAATCCAAGAGAAATGGCGAACGAAGTAGAGCCAAATATCAGAGATATGTTGCCAACCTGTTCGAATTCTCCTGTTTCTTTGCAAAATCATCAGTTCTATTTTAGGTTGTGTTAATTACAACAACTTTATGGTTGATAGCTCCGAGAAAATCAAAAATCCTCAGACAGTCACCTTATTGACGTCGTTGAAGGAAGTCAATACGTTTTTTTCCGTTCGAAAAACGGATCAGGATTGTTCCAGTTTTCGACAAAAATGGGTTTTTTTTTCAAAATTTCACTGTTCAGCGTTGTATTTATTCTGGAGACAAGAGGACCAACAAAAAGGTACCTAAGATAGATATTTTGACAAATCATCCTTTTTCGAATTTTTCTCCCTCTATCTCGTTGTTCTTTCTGATTCTTGCTTTTTTTCATATTTGAATCTTTAGCCACTCTCACATTTTTGAAATTCAAAAGCGTTTATTTACCTAGCTAATCTCGTAATCGTGGCAAGACCAGCAAACGCGTGTATGCCGTCGCGCGCGTTGCGGTCACAAAAACCAAAGAAGGTCTTCTGCCCTCTCCACTTCCTCCTAGCTATTTTCTCTAGGCTCTCCTCTGTTCTCTCACTATTTCTCACAAGGTCGTTCGCATCATCCCTCTTCATTCTCTTTTGCCAGTCGCATACACCTTGCTTTCCCGATAATCAATGTCTTCCGCTCTGTTTGTCTGCCACGCGGTTTTTTTTTGCGCTGTTCGATTTTTATTTGCGTTTTCCGTCATACTCTAGTAATCACGAGGACCAAATTTCTAATTTTCTTTTTTTTTTCAGATAATTTGAGGCTCCTCAATTTGACCATGGAGCGGCGACCGCCAGCCAGATTGAGAAGACGATTTCCAAGACCAGTACTCTCTGATGGAGGAACGAATGTACTTGCACAAAGGGCACGCAGAGTATTGGGGCCCTTGCGAAATACTCTAGGACCTGTTGTGATAAGTGAAGATCCAATTTCCATATCGATAGAGGAAACTGAACCCGTGTCAAACCCTAACACCATGTTCAATGATAATCCACTCTGGCAACGGGTATTTGGCCGTCCATCTGCTGAAAAAGAAAAAAAGGAAGACGAAGAAAGTACGAGGCGTGCTTTTCATGAACGGCTCTATGGTATGTTTTTATATGAAAAATAACACTATAAGTTATTTCAGCGCGTATTGACGAATTCACGCGGCAAGTGCAAGAACAGTCCGCGAGCGGAGAGTTTCGTTTTCCGGATCCAGATGATTCTGAACCTGAGCCTGAACAGGATTCACCAAGATACTCCCCATCTTACTATGAATGTAACTCTCCATGTTACTCCCCATCGAGCCCTCTTGACGGTGACGGTGAGCAGTGCTCAAGTGAACTGGCCGGAGTTATTGACAACACAGACGATGTTGAGGGTAAGTTGAATTTGAAAAAAAACAAAAACAATTCATGTTTTCAGGTGCCGATTCACCAGTTCCACAATCACCTGAACGTAAGTATGATTTCTCTCAAGGATATCCACAGGATCTCTTCCCGGGTGTGCATTATAATCCAATCGAATCTCCAGTAAGCTCTCGAGAACTCTCTCCTCTTCCGGAACCACTCACGTTTCCAATCAATTGCAGAAGTAGGTTATTCAAAACGTGTTGCAATTATGAGAACCTTACCATTCAGATGGCAACCTTCTTCCAAAGTTGGCCAACTTCCGGCATACGATTGAGTTTGGATTCGATCCAAGTATGGGAGCTAGCACCAGTACAGGTCCGAGAACTAATGGAGGACCGAGTGCCCGTGAGGAACCAGGCACCAGCGAAGTTCCGAGCACCGGTGGAGAACCAGCGGAGTGGGGTGGAGGACACTGGAGGGTAGCGGATGACCTAACTAACAGTGAACGTCCGAGCACCAGTGAAAAACCGAGCGCCAGTGAATTACAATCACTTCCGAACAACATTACAAAAGAATTCCTACAAAAAAGAAATAAGGGTAAAACTACAGGACTTGTTGGGTCTGACGAAACTGACATTTCAGAAATGTACGATGCTCTATTTGAATGTTGCGAAGCTATGGAAAAAACCAAACTGGATGTTGAACAGTGTGTTGAACAGAGCCAAGCGTCTGGTGTTCCACAAACCGCAGAGGAAATCGTCTTAAACGAGGATTACGCTAGAAAATTGGCCTGGCAGCAGTATTGTTTGACGTACAATTACTATATGGGTCATGATAGTTAGTTTCATCGTCCAACTTTGTTCAAAATAATTACTTTCAGAAATTAGCTTTGGCATGATCATGGATCCATGTCCACATATCATTCCTTCTGAGAACATCCAATTTTATCAAGGCTCACCAAACCCTTCAAGCGGTTTTATATATACATCCTGCTATGAGCTCGAAAAGGTTCGAATTGAAAGCAACAAGAATGCTCACGAGAACGAGAAACTGAAAATCGAGATCCAGAAATTGGAGAAGGAAGTTCAACGGCTTACTGGAAAGGTACCTGAGCAACCGAAGGAGCAGACAAGTGGAGGTTGGAAGAACAAGAACAAGAAGAAGAACAAAAAGAAATGATTCGTTTCTGATATCTCAAACTTCATGATAAATAATTGTTGCTGCATTTTATATATATATATATTGTATCGCGGGGTGGTTTCGCGTATTCAAAAAAAAATCTTCAAAACACAGAAAAAATTTTCCTATTTTGTCAAATTTATTTTTCTTCTTCAAAATCATTTTCTATAGATGATGTCATTTTTCTAATTTCTTCATTTGCTATCAACGTTCTTAATTTAATTGTATTATTGAAAATTGATTATGGCAATGTTCTAACTGATCTTTTCATATTATCATTTCATAAGAAGGAATGTTTTTTCACTTTGTCATCGATTTTTCAATAATTTTTGGCCTCAGCTATTTCAATGTCATTTATAAATTTGAGTTAGTTTTTTTCAAATACACAGTGTTCCGCAGAAGCCAGACATGCTCTTTGAAATGAATGAAATTTAGTAGTGTGATTCCATTTTTTAGGTTTGTTGGATTTTTTCTCAGAATGTTTCATGTGCAGTTTGATTATGCCATTGGGAACCTCAATGTGACATTTTTTCAGATTCCTTCCGAATAAAATTATTTTTCGTTTACCGGATGTGCACGATACGCTTGTTTTTTGTAGAGAAACTGCACGCGAACCATTTTCAGAGAACCACAACACATTATTCCGATTATTCTATATTCTGTCCGTTCACGATCTCCGTATCCGATCCGATTACGAGCGATGAAAAAAGATCCGTTTGCGAATCTGAATTTTAAATAATCTGAATTTAAAGTAATTTTTTAGAATCTGAACTTTTCGTTCGCGAACTGATCCGTTTCTTCATCGTTGGCAATCGAATCGGATACAGAGCTTGCGAGCAGACATAATTCGGAATAATTGGAACTATGTATTGTGGTTTTCTGGGAACGGTTCGCGTGCGGTCCGTATATCATTCATGTTTCAACCGAGCGCAAACGCGGAGCGTCCGCAACTGGAAGAAGGGAAAAAAAAGGTCTTACTGCAAAAATATGGTAATTTTCTGTCCGAAATGTAGAACTGAAAATAACTTTTCTTTGAGTATGTGAGTTTCCTCTGTTTTGAAGCTGTGAAGCTAAAAAACAATTTTTGAGCAGGGGAAAACCCGAAGGATTATTTGGCAGTTTAGAGTCTGAACTGTAGAGAAACGCATAAAGCACCGAAAACTAGAGAAAAATTGAGTAGATTTGAATTGCGCTTTGGGACACCGTAAAATATGTTGTAAAATCATCTTTATTATTTGAAGAAAAACCAAAATGAGAGCCCTGATAAAGCTTGGTCAGAGAATCAAACGATTTTCATTCAATGAAAAAAAGACAAAATGTGAAGGATTCGTGAATGTTTTTGAAATGAATATCATTTTTGAATGTTTTAGAATTTTTTTCTGAGATGAGAAAAGAAAAGCGGGTAAGTTGAGGGATGGACGGGATTTTTCTGGGGAAAAAAATCGACATACATTTCTGAAAATAATGACAAATAGAGAAGATAGACGTTCATGGATAAGTTGGGATGGGTTGGGAGCAAACAGAGACAGGGTACAATAGACACTGGATAAAATGGTTTTTGGTGTAAATCAGTAAACGAGTTGAAACAAGCCACAATGAGCATACTAAATGGGAAAATGAAGAAAAAGGCACTACTTGTATTTGGGCGACTGAAAGAATTGAGAAAGAGTGAAAATGAAGATAAGGCAAACGTGGTGGTTGACTATTTTTAAAAGATGGACGGACAAGAATGGAAATTTGGTTATGGAAGTAAAGTACAGTAATCCAAGAGGATAAGAGAAAAAAATCTAATTTGAATCGTTACAATACAAGACTATGACCAGATTAGGGTTACAATAAGACTGCTACGTTCTTTTGATTATTTTTATAAAAAATAATACCGAAATATCAGCAGTTTGTGAGTTGATTATTTTTTTGGAGGTGAGTGAGTCAAAAAAAGGTTATGTGATCTGAAAATTTGGCGAGAAGTTATGAGCGTGGGGTGTGGATTGATGGGAGGACAATTTTTAGAAGTTTTCAATTCAGAAATGAGCAATTTTTCGCGGGAGAGACACTACAAGTTTAGACTATATGACAAAGAGAGAAAATGTTTTTTTGGGGGAAGGGGAAACGGGGACAAATGACAGGGAGATTTTATTTGTTATCAATATGAGCATGGTGATGGTGGAAAAGAAACGGGGATAAATATGCAAATGGTAAAGTATTAGTGATGAGAGACACGAGGATTCTGTTTTTGAGCAATTTAGTTTTTGAGTACTTATGGCGGTTTAAAAAGTTTAGTTGGCCTTCTCGGCTTTATCTTCTCCGGTGGGTTGTTCATTGGAGCTATCTTCAGAAGAGCCTTCCTCATGCTCGAAAGTATTGCAATCATCCTGAAAAGACTAGAGTTAGTTTGAATTTCTCATAATAATTTCGTCACAACTACCTCAGTGGTGGTCCCTCCGTAATTGCTATCCTCATCAAAATTTTGCGGCGTATCAGCAGCCGAGCTGCTGTTTCCTGTGCTTTTTCGATCGCCGTCCTTCAAGTTGAGATTTGAGAGTTGCTCGTAGAGCTCACGGGACGAATGATGGTGTCCTTGTTGTGGACGTTTCCAGTAGGTGCTGCCATTAGGATGTTTGGTGAAAACTCGCACTTCAATCTTGCGCTCATTCACAATATGACGACCACCGTTGTGTTGTAGACAACGGTCGGCTGACTCCTTATCCTCGTAGATCACAAATCCGAGGCCACGTGGTTGTCCCAAGATTTCAACTTGGTCAAGGGTTCCGAAAGTCTCAAAATAGACGCGCAGAGAGTCAACAGAATGGACTCCACTGGTGATTCCACTCAGAAGAAGTTTGCATCCTGGAGAAGGATCTGTTTCGAAGAATGGTGGTGGAATCATGGAGGACATCTGCTCACGTGGAATGGCTCTTTTTGAGTCTACCTGGAAATAATATCAGATTGACAGAATCCATAATTCAATTAGAGCTACCGTCTTTCCTCCAAGCTTATGTGGTCTGTCATTCATTGCGGCTTCTGCGCTGAAGATTGAATGAAAAGTGACGAATCCGAAGCCACGGGATGTCTTGGTGTTTGGGTCCCGGATGACGATCGCGTCGACAACATGTCCCCATTGCGAGAAGTAGTTGCCGAGCTAGAAGAGTGCAAGACATGACATTGGACCCGCAATGTCACTTTTTACAAACCTGTTCATCTGTTGTCTCATGGCTCAGACCTCCTATGAACAATTTACGAAGCTGTGGTGGGCTGTCGTGTTGGTAATGGCCCATTCCCATTTGTTGAAACTGCTGAAAACAAGAATCATGTTTTTATAGCGTTGATTGTGGAAAAACTATGAGCTGCTATAATTTGTGATCTTACTTGAAACGCATTAAATGAATATTGGGCTCTCAAAAGAGCAATAACATCAGCGATAAGCATATTGTATGTAGGTTTGTAGAATAATGAGTATGAGTAGACGTTAATGATGACTTCTGTATCAAGGTTTGCTGTGTTCCAGATATGACGCAATATTGGTCAGGTCAGCCAAGATAAACGACACTGTGCACACTGACCTGCTCTACCGCTCTTTCACACACACACCACTCTAGCCCCGTAGTTTCCGGGTCCTGCACTCTTACGCTCGTCTTTCTCGAATACTTTCATCTTCTTCACTTTTCGTTCACACTGATCAAATCGCGATAGAAAAAACACAACATATCAGAGTGGTATTGAAAAAAGAAGAAAACGGCTCAAAAAATATTTCAAAAATCCCTACTCGAAGCATCTGATGCAGCTCGTATGGATGTATCACTGGATAGCCGTTCCATTGTGGTGGTGGTGGCATTCCGCGATTCATCATCGCAAACGGATAACTTCCAGCTTGCAGCATCTCAGCAACCTCTGAAAACATTCAGAGTTGGTTACCAGTTGTCAGGAATTGTTCCGATTTACCTGGTGGGTACGGATATGGTCCGTACATTGTCTGATGATGCGGATCGGCAACGAACAGCTTAAAAATGTAACAGTATCAGTATGAGGTATGAGGTGAGAAACAAAAAACTAGATGAAAAAAGGAAAGCATGACCGCTGGTGACGAACCAGGTAAAATCACATCAAAGCACTGATAAAATAAACATAATTAAAAGTTTCTTTAATTATAAACAAAAAAAGAAAAAAAGCGAGATTAGAAAATTGAGATTTAAATGAAGGAAAAATAAATTACAAAGGAGCATATTTGATAGGTGATTTGAGATAATTGGGAAAAAAGATGCAGGGTGTTTTTATTAGGGATTACATGATGATTATTTGAGGTTGAACTTCTGAAGACGCAATTTCTGAAAACAATAATGATATTTGAAAAAGAACACATTATTTTGGCAAATGATCTTTTGCAAAATTTTAGCAAAAGGTCTCCGAGGAGTTCGAAAGGTGCTTTACGATGTGCGAGGCAAAAAGAAAAAAGAGAAGGGAGGGCCCTCCCGAAACAAATGTAGTTCTCAAAAACGAAAAATGACGAGTTGAGCGGGGCGGAGTCTTACGCCACTTCTCCTGGCATTGAGGTGGAGGAGGTCCCTCCCTTTTCGTATACACATCCATCTATTCCCTAGTTTTTTTTCTCTTCTCCAGAGCACCAAAACTAGAAGAAGAAGGTGGACCCCTGGGGACATAGTATTTCCAAGGAAAGGAGGGCACCATGGTGTATGGGAGGTCTTTGGGTGCCACTTTAGCCCTAATAGGTTTAGCGCTTTGTATACCCACAAACATCTCTTGCGTTCTGATTTTTCTACTAGACTCACTATTGGTTTTTGGAAGAGGACGATCCGGATTTTGGGACTCCTGGAATATTGATGCTCATGAGCGATGGAACTGCTTTTTTGGCTGGTGTAGTTGTTGGGCTTCCAGAGCCAAAAGTGTTTTGCGTCTGGAAAATATTATATGATGAGGAGGTAACCTGAATTTCTTTAGGCGTTTACCTTTGAAACTTGAGCTTTCAAGGCATTGGTCAACATGTTAGACAAGTTGTTTGTAACTCTGGCGATCTGTGGATTTTGCGACAGGGTCGAGTTTTTAGCTGCAGCTTGATCAAATCCTGCTGGTGGTGGATTTGAGAATGCCATTGGATTGAGACCGTGGGTGACCATGTTTCTTTTCTCATTCTCTGACATGATGGATGGTGGTGGCGCCATTGGTTGAATAATTGGTGGTGGCACATTCACAGGCACAGAAGTGTTGATTGCTGGTGGTGGAACTGGAATGGAGAATGGTGGTGGTCCCAAGAGGCTGACTGGTGGTGGCACGGCGAACGAAGACGCTGAAACTCCCAATGCTGGTGGTGGAACTCCGATGGATGGTGGTGGCATTCCAATTGGGGGTGGTGGTCCCACAAAACTTTGAGGATATCCTGGTGGTGGAACTCCCATGTGTTGTGGAGGTTGTCCATACCTAAAAAATATTAGGAGTTTTCACGGGGGAGAACTGGTGTAAAGTGTCTTACTTTAACGACATAAGTGTTGATGTGCCGTACGGCATTGGTTGGCCGGCTGGCGCAGCGGCTCCTGAAAGAAAAAACCGATTTGATAAGTGAGGCGAATGGGAGAAGAAAATGGGGTCGCACTTTTGGCTTTCTTTTTCCTCTTCTTCAACTCTTCCAATAAAAATTTCAAACTCACTGTCTTCTGCGATCCGCACTGTGCCATTTTCAAAAATGAGCACATCCTGCATGTGACGAGGCAAGTTGCCGTGTATTTTCTTTATTCTCTCATACTCCAGCTCATGCAACTCCTCCATATGCTCCTTCATGAATTGTTTCTTATCACATATTTTTTCCAAGGCTTGATCGAGTGCGATTCCTTCGCGAACGACCTCGTAGAGCTCCTCATCGGTGATAGTCAGTCCCTGAAAAATGAACAAATGAATATCGAAGGGTGATTTGGGTTTTGATCATAGACCATATGCAAAGAAGCTGATTATCATATTAATGATAACAAAATAGAGATACAGTCAAGTCTACAATGAAGAGAGGGATGTATCAAAAACTGTCTATTGTCGAATACATTTCAAAGGAGAAGTCAAAGAGCGTCAACAAGCGCACAGTATTGTTGGCAAATGCGTTGCCGTATTATAGTTGGTTTTCAAAAACGTTTTTTCACTATTTGTTTAAGACACCAGGTGCAGAGCTCGAGGGAATAAACTCAAAAACTATTTTGTTCTTCGAAATTGACGGACAACCAGTTACCGTAACCTGCTCAGAGAGATAATATTTTTGAAAGACAGTCAAAAGGAGGGCAATCGGTCATGGTTTATTTTTGAAAGATGATAAATTGCATCACAAGGTGATATCACTGTGGATACCTGATACCCACGAGTGAAGAAGAAGAAGAAAAAGATCTAAGAACACACATCACCCATCTCGAAACCCTGTGAAGAATACGAAAAACGGGACGCAAATGTGCGCCAGTCGCCCGATTATGACCATCTGTGTGTGTGTCTAATCAATTTTCGCGTCGGTTTACGAGAGAAAAAACTGATAACAGAGCTCAAATGTTACAAATTAATTTTTGCATCATTCTGGCAACACTGAGAAAAGAGGTGGGTTGGTTTGAGCGAGACAAAAAGTTATTTGCCGTCGTTCTCGAACCACCATATCAATCGCTAGGCATCCCGAAAAGTTTCTGATAACAAAACCGAGTCGATTCGCGCGAGGTAGAAGGAGAGTATGACCACTCAGAAAATGAGCACACTTCGGTTTGGATGAGCTGTTGCCAATTATTTCTACCACTCCTTGTGTAAATGATCACTCGTTATCTTAAGAGCCCAAACAAGAGAGCTATCTACCGTAGTAGGGCAAGAGGTTATATGTATTTTGTGTTTCTATCTGTAGTCGTTCCGCTGATTTGTGTGACATGACGTTAGCAGCAAAAGAAGAAAAAAAATGTTTCGCGTAGTAACGGAATGATGCAATTTCGAAAAAATTAGAAGATCGGAGATAACGTCAGCGCGAAAGAAAAGTATGAGTTTCCGCCGAAAGTTGATTTTCGGAACCGATGATGCAAAACAAATGATTGCAAAAAACATGGATCGCTGACATTTGAATCATTTTTACAAAAACAAAAAAATAGATTTTTTGCATCCCCTATACTCCCGTTTCTAAGATTTCTCTTCTCTCTCTCTCTCTCTCTCTCTCTCTCTCTCTCTCTCTCTCTCTCTCTCTCTCTCTCTCTCTCTCTCTCTCTCTCTCTCTCTCTCTCTCTCTCTCTCTCTCTCTCTCTCTCTCTCTCTCTCTCTCTCTC